GAAATTTCTTCTGGAAAGGCCAGGCATGATGGCACATTCCTCTAACCTCAGCAGCCAAGAGTCTGAGGTAGAAGGATTTCTGGATGTTCAAGGACAGCCTGGGTTAGTGAGTGCAAGGCCAGCCTGTCTTAAAAATAAATGCATAAAATAAAATAAAAATTTTTCTTTTGAACATACAAATTTTGCAAATATTGTTCCAAAAATTGCCGGTACAGTCTTCTAGCTTCCTCACTATTAACATCTGCATAGGCACAGTACCATTACCAATGCCAGGAGTTAATACTAATATACTATTATCAACTGATCTATAAATCTTATTCAAATCTTGTTAATGGCTACTTAATGTCCTCTTTCTTTTTATTTCACTTTCAGAGACAGGGTTCTACTATTTTGCTTGCCCAGGCTGGTATTAAACTCCTGAGATCAAGAGATCATTCTGTCTTCAGCTGCCAAATATCTCACATTACAAGCATGTGCCAGCATATCCAGCTTTTTTTGTGGTGGTGGTGGTGCTGAGGACTGAAACAGGGTATGTTCTATCACTGAGCTATACCTCCAGCCCTTAATGTCTTTTTGTTGGAACAGTATTCCATCTTGGTTCCTACAATGCATTTAGTAATCATGTCTCCTTTAAACTGAGATAGTTATTTAAGTCTCCATTTTTCATATTTTTGAAAGTATCCATCCTTAAATTACCTTTATTTTTTATTAAGTGAGCACAGTCATTAGCATATTAAACAGTTATGTTTATTATTATATATCCATCAGTGTGGCTTTCAGTACCACTTAAAACATGAATTTCTTCCTAGAGGCAATCAGTTTTCCAGTGCTTGTTTCATACACATTACTGCAAAACCATTATAAATTACTGAGGAGGTATTCAGTTAAAAAAAAATCATATTGTCCATGTAAATAAACTCTTGATACTGGACAAGAGTTTAACAGTATTTATCTGGCAATTCCTATGTTAACTTGAAAATATCAGAGATGTTTCTTTTTATATTGGTACAAGCTTGTATATTTCTGCAAACAGTTTTAGTCATTATAGTATCAAGTAGTTTGATGAAAAGATTGTACTCAGTTTATGAAAGTTCCACAAATCTCTGAATATTTTATTGTATGTGCTACCAAAGTGAGCACAAACCTCTAAATATTTTTAAATAAACCCATTATCAATGAAAAAACCCACTGATACAGTTTTCTAAAAATCCTGTTTTGGTAAATTCTATAATTACTCATGGGAGTAAAATAATTCTCTCAAATTAAGGCACTTAAAAGGGCAATGCAACTTCCACTTGAAGTGCTCTAAGGATAATTTATATTTCCAACAGTGGATACATCTCTTTTATGTTCGTTAACTTCATGTCTTTATCACTTAAAACTACCAAGAAATACATTATAGAACTACAGAAATGATGTTCCCCACAAAATGCTTTTCAACTTGGTTCTTCTTTTGAGACAGGGTGTCATAGGCATATGCATATGCAGTTCAGGCTGGCTGGCCTTTGAACTCACTATATAGCCCAGGCTGACCTTGAACTTGGGGCAATCCTCCTACCTCAGTCTCCCCAGTGCTGAAAATATAGGTGTACTATGACATCCAGGTTAAACTTGGTTCTTTTGTATAGCTCCTATTGTCTCTGGTAATAAAATAACTCAGTATGGCTTTACAAAAATGCATAGTAAAAATGTAATCTTCTTAGCCAGGCATGGTGGTGCACACTTGTAATCCCAGCACTCGGGAGGCTGAGGCAGGAGGATCACTGTGAGTTCGAGACCAGCCTGAGCTACACAGTGAGTTCCAGGTCAGTCTCAACTACATAGAGAGACCGTCTCAAAAAACAAACAAACAAAAAAGTAATCTTGTTTTCTACCATTTCCCAATCTACGAATTTACTGAGACATATGCCAGTTTGTTAAAGGATAATATATTTAATTTCTCCATCAAGTCCACCATGAGCAATCCTAAAGCTTTTTTAATTCTACAGTGTTTTGTTTTTTAATTTTGAAAATGGATCTCGCTAGTTGCCCCGGCTGGCCTTGCTTGAACTTGCAATTCTTCTGCCTCAATGTCCCATTGAGCTGGGATTACAGGCATGTGCCACCACACCCAGCTATAACTGATTTTTTTTAGAGAACATCCATCAGTTTGGGTTTGCCTGATGTTTCCTTGTGATTAGATCATAGATCTGCATTTCTGCAGGCAGAAATACCACAGAAGTGATGCTAATTCTTTTCACTGTGTCCTATCAAGAAGTCCATGGTGGCTAACATCTCTACAATCCCAACTACTCAGGAGGGTGAGTCAGGCTAACCCCAATTTCGAGGCCAGCCTGGGCAACTCAGCAAGATTGTGTCTCGAAACAAAAATAAAATAAAATAAAATAAAAGATGAGCTGGGGATGTAGCTCAGCGGTAGAGTAGTTGCCTAAGATTCATGAGGCCCTGATTTGATCCCTAATATCAAGCACACACAGAAAGTGCACAGTACTAGGATGCCTCATTCCAGAGGGGGCCAACTCCATCATTCAGTTCCAGCTCACAAACCTGGTTTCTCCACTGTGAAGTAACTAATTTTCTCCTTTGTAATCAATATGTATCTTGAGGGCAGACACTTTGAGACAATGTAAACATTTATTTCTCATTTGAACTTTCAGCCACTAGTTTTAACATCTACTGATGATTCTTTTTTTTTTTTTTGTTACCAGGGATCTAACTCCGGATGTTGCACTTGCATGGCAGGCGGTGGAACTACTGAGCTAAATCCCCTGCCCTACTGGTGATTCTTGAGGTAATTATTATTGTGAAGCACCAGATGGGTGATTTTCTATTTCCATCATTCCTGATTTATTTATTTTTTATTTTTGGTACTGGGGATCAAACTCAGTATCTTGTGCTTGTGAGGCAGGTGGCAGCAATACTGAGCTAAATTCCTGGCTTCCCTTTCATTTCTTTTTTGGGTTTTTTTTTTTTGAGACAGGGTCTCACCATACAGTCTAGGCTGGTCTTGAACTCACTATACAGTCCAGGGTGGTCTCTAACTCATGGTGATCCTCCTGCCTCAGCCTTCCACATGCTGATTATAGGCATGCACCATCACATCCAGTTAGTGAAATAATTTTTTTTTTTTTGGAGACAGGGTCTTTTTTAAAAAATTAATTTTATCGGTACATTTTAGGTATACAATATAACAACATTCATCATTGGAAATTTGTATCTTTACATAATCTATCTTGATTGAGACATGGTCTTGTATCACCATGCCCAACTTTATATATTTAACTGGAACTCTATAAGGCTTTTCTCAATTTGTTATATTATTACTATCATTATTATTATTTTGTGCTAGAAATCACACCCAAGGCCTTGCATTCTACAATAGAGCCAAGCCCTTCAAAAATATTGTTGTTGTTGTTGTTGTTATTATTATTATTATTATTATTATTTTGAGACAAGGTCTCTGTTAGTTCAGGCTAGCCTTGGCCTCATTATGCAGCTTTGCTGAGTGTGGTGGCACAAGCCTGTAATCCCAGCACTTGGCAGGCTGAGGCAGAAGGATCACTGTAAATTCAAGCCCAGGCTACACAGTAAGCTCAAGGCCAGCCTGAACTACATAGTGAGACCCTGTCTCAAAACCACCAACCAACCAACCAATCTGTTTCCTGGCCCTATCTCATGTATTTCTACACGTATTGTACATTAATGTTTGTTCATACCTAATTAACTCCAATTTCTTTTTTTTTGGGGGGGGTTTTTTTTTTTTTTTGGTTTTTTTGAGACAGGGTCTCACTATGTAGTTGAGACTGACCTGGAACTCACTATGTAGCCTAGTCTGGTCTTGAACTCACAGCAATCCTCCTGCCTCAGCCTCCCGAGTGCTGGGATTACAGGAGTGCACCACCACGCACGGCCAGCACTAACTCCAATTTCACCTCAACACTATAGGGTTTATCCTATCATCACACCCTACTCCCTGGCTTTATAATTTCTTTTTCTAACAGGCTAGCCTTGAATTTATTCTCCCTCTGCCTCAGCCTTCCAAATGCTGGGATTACAGACATCCACCACCACAACAGGCTACATTCAATAGTTTATATTATACCGTGTGTGTGTGTGTGTGTGTGTGTGTGTGTGTGTGTGTGTGTGTGAGAGAGATGCTGAGACTTGAACCCAGGGGCTTTACACTTAGCAACACCCAAGCCCATTTTTTATTTATTTTTCTTTTTGGTACCTGGGATCAAACTCGGGTCCTTGAGCTTGCGAGGCAGGAGGCGGAACCACTGAGCTAAATCCCTGGCCCTGGTTTTGGTTTTTGAGAGAGTCTCACTATGTAGTTCAGGCTGGCTTTGAACTCACTATGAAACCCAGGCTGGCCTCCAACTCACAGGATTTTCCTGCCCCAGCCTCTGGAGTACTGGGATTACAGGCATGTCCTACCATGCCTGGCTTATTTTTTATTTTAAGACGGAATCTTGATGAATCGCCCGGGCTGGGATTGAAGTTCCAATCCTCCTGTTTCATCTCTCAGAGTGATGGAATTACAGGTGTGCACTGCTGTGCCTGGCTTCGTTTTTTTAACATCATATGTAGAAATACATGGTTTTCACAAAGAGACTCCACATTCCATATACATCAGCTGCTTCACATAAGTCATTTTTTTTAACTACATAAATGCTTGCTCCCTTCATGTATCTAATGTGACACAAATGTTTTACAGTATCTTCAACAGAGGGCTGGGATTTAGCTCAGTGACGCCTGCCTCACAAGGTCCTCAGTTTGATCCCTGTTACCAAGAAAAAAAAAAAAGATCTCCAACAGAGTTTCAGTGGTGGCACATGCTATATAGCATGACTCACTCAAATAACAAAAAAACAAAATAAAAGTTTCAAGAATATGCCATAGGCTATCTATCAGCACATCTATATTTTATCACCAGAAGTACTGCTCTCCAAAGCTATCATTCACACTCAATTCATTTGAATAAAGATTTCATTTCTTACCTGACTTGGGATGATCTTTTCTTCAGCAGCTGTGGAATGTGGACATGGGTCTTTCTTCCCTCCCTCACAAGGGTCTTTGTTTACTTCTGCCTGGTCCCCTTGATCTCTGAAGACCTTTAGCTCCATGCTTTTGGTTTTCTCTGCCCTATTAGAGATCTCAGAAGCCATAGAATCTCCTGTAGTGGGGTCCACTAGTCCATACCACCTAGGCTCACCCCGATTATCCAAGATCTCAGAGGTTTCTTCACAACAACTTTCTGCATGGGTCCTCTGCAGCTCCAAGGGCAAGGCTCTACTCTGACTTACAAGAGAGCTTGAGGCTCCAGGTTTTATATCTGGAATCACACTTGGCTCAGGGTCAGCAGGAAGCTCTTTGGAGACACTTACTGGGAGTTCAGAGTATAATTCCTGTACCACAGCAGACATGGAGGAATCATGTAGAACTGGCCGAGTCTCTACTCCAGATGACAGCATTAGGGCAGATGTAGATTACGGAGTCAAGTCTTTTACATCAAAGGTTCACCCTGACACAAATCAAAGGAAGGGATACAAGTTTAAAACCTTGACAGAGTAGAAGAAATCTGTCTCTGTTCACGTCAAAATAAGGAAAATAAATTCTACTTCAAATGCTAGCATTATCTGGCACCAAAAATTGCTCCTTAAACAGGCTGTGAGCTGGGCATGGTGGTACATGCCTGTGAGCCCAGCACTCGGGAAGCTGAGGCAGGAGGATAGTGAGCTTGAGCTAGCCTGAGCAACACAGTAAGATGCTGAATCAAAAAATAAAAATATAAAACAAGGGCCAGGGATTTAGCTCAGTGGTTCTGCTGCCTGCCTTGCAAGCACAAGGTCCCGAGTTTGATCCCTGGTACCAAACAACAACAACAACAACAAAATGAACTAAATTTGTGGAAAAATACATACCTAAACCTTTAACATATAACTGTCTAATCACAACTCAAATACTATCTTCTGAATAATTCTCAAATTAAATGAAAAGATTAAGTATCTAATGATATACCTACTGTAAATTAGAAAATACAGTAGTTTTCTACTTGTTTTCAGGGCATGAACTTTCTGTTTTGTTCACTGATATATCCCCCTTGCTATCTAGAATAGATGCCTAACACACAGTAGGTATTTAGTAAGTATTTGTTGAATGAAGACATATTGAAGGACTCTGAATAATTTCATACGCTGACTTGTGCTCTTTGAAGGAAGATATGGGAAAAATGGATAGCCATTTTTGTACTGCTTGCCAAATACCTGAGCTATACTGACCCATAATAACACAAGACACTAACCCAGCTCTTCAGCAGAATCCTTTGACTTTAGTTCAGCATCTTGAGATTTTCCATGTTCTTTCACAGATATCACTTATTTGATTTATACAATAACCCTTTGACCTAAATAGAGCAGCTGTCATCTTCATGTTATAGATCTTAACATCACACTTCAGGTCACAAGTGACCTCCTAAAGGCTAAAAGGTTATAGATCTCTCTCTCTCTCTCTCTTTCTCTTTTTGGTACTGGGGACTGAACTCAGGACCTTGCGCTTGCCAGGCATGTGTGGTGCCACTGAGCTAAATCCCCGGCCCAAAGAGTTACAGATCTTAACATCACAACTGAGGTTAAAAGTGACCTGCCTAAAATATTACAGAGGAGGAAGGCAATTCATGGGGTGTCTACTGTGTCTGTAATTTTCATATTTTGAAATAGCTGCTGAATATTTCTAAGTGATTCATAATACCATACTATAAAAGAGGTCAGGGTGGGGATTTAGCTCAGTGGTTCTGGTGACTGCCTTGCAAGCGGAAAGGGCCTGAGTTCGATCCCCAGTACCTCCCCAAAAAAACCAAAATAAAAGAGGTCAAAACATACACATATTCAGGATCAGGATTTCCTGGCCAGTAGCTTTTCCATTTTAATCCACGAAACACATACAGTATGGACAATGACATCGACCTTGACCTGACCAAGACAGAAACTGGTTAACCAAATTCACACTTTGATTCTTCATGCTTTCCCTAACCCCAAACAAGAGGAGGACAGAAGGTAAAATTTAATGAAATCTTTACAAAGGTAAAAGCATCTAAAGCTACACTACTAATTTAAATACTGGAAACAATAGGAAATCAGATTGTTGGTCCACTGCAGTTGAAGTAACAAGAGAAGAACTGATCAACTAAAACAATTGAGCTGAAAGCAATAACATACAATACCTGTCTCAAAATTTAAAAATTAAAGCACAGAGGGGATCCTGTGGATATAGCTCAGCACTCCCTAAGTTCAATGACCGGTACTGAAAAAGATAAACAAATGAAAATGAATTCACTAGCAGGGAGAGATAAACTTGTATACAGGAAAAGTATAGTGAAAATCAAATGATACTCTCCAAGTAAAAGTCGTTCATAAACTGGAGGCATTTTAGATCTGAGACTGTGTGGGTATATGGGGGGAGATGAGAGGGGAGGAGAAGAGGAAGAAGAGAGTGTGCGCATGTGTGCGTCTGTGAACATGTGTGCGCCTGTGTGTATGTAGGGGTTAAAGTAGAATTTCTACTTGATGCCAAGAATAAGTCGAAAGCACTCCATTTTAATTTGGTTCAGCTTCCTTCTCCCAGCAACATACAAACATACACAACCCAGTTTTTGGTTGTCACACTCGAGACAGAAGAACTAGTACAGGAAAGAAAACTATACAGATCATGTCTGCCAAAGAAAATCAGCTTCTTGGGACTCTGACACTTGGTACCCAAGAATTCTTTATTCCCTGTCCACTAATGAGGTATAAGTAGTCTCAAAGTTAAATCTTTTTTTTTTTTTTTTTTTAAGACAGGGTCTCTACGTAGTTTAGGCTAGCTTTGGACTCACTATGTAGCCCAGCCTGACCTCAAACTCACAGCGATCCTCCTGTGTCAGCTTCCTGAGCATGTGCCCCCACACCAGGATTCATGTTAATCCTTAACTCTTCCCTTCTCAGGTTTTATGATTTTTTTGAATGTGTGGGGGTGCTGGGATCAAACTAAGGACCTAGGCATGCACGCTATCACTGAACTATGTCCCCAGGCTTTCTTTTCGTTCTTTTTTTTTTATCTTGAGACAGGGTATCAGAGTTGCCCAAACTGGCCTTGAAGTTGCAATCTTCCTGCCTCAGCCTCCTGAGTAGCTAGGGTTGCAGGCTTGGTCTACCATTCCTGGCCATTACTTTACCTTTTCCTTCAGCCTCTGCTATAACTCAAAGCTGTCTCTTTGGGCCAGGGATGTAGGTGAATAGGAGAGTGCTTTCCTAGCATGTGTAAGGCCGAGTTCAATCCTCAGCATCAAGAAACAACAAAAAATACTTACAAGCTGGGGGCATGGTTGGGCATGCCTGTAATACCAACTACTTGGGAGGCTCAGGCAGAAGGATCAAAAATTCCAGGACAGCCTGGGCAACTCAGCAAGACCCTGTCACCCATCCTACCCCAAAAAAAGTAGGGATGGAGGTACAGCTCAGGGTTAGAGTGCTCCTGGGTTCAATTTCCAGTACAAACAGAAACAAGCAGGGCTGGGGATTTGGCTCCCTGGATCCACCGCCTGCCTTGCAAGTGCAAGGGCCCAAGTGTGATTCCCCTGTACCAAAAAACAAACAAATAGCCAAACAAAAACATCCAACACAAAACAAAGGCAAACAAAACACAACTGTCCCTTTAAGCATAGTTATTATATGACCCAGCAATTCCACTAATAAGTATATACACAAAAAAATGTCCACACAGAATCCTGCACACAAATAGTCTTTTTTTTTTTTTTAACAGGGATCGAACTCAGGACCTTGCACTTGTGAGTAACTTGAAGTAACAACAGAAGAACTGATCAACTAAAACAACTGAGCTGAAAGCAATAACATACAACCCTGAGCTCAATCCCCGGCCCACAAATATTCTTACATAGTACCAGTCATAATAGCCAAAAAATTACAAAAAATCCAAACGTTTATCAACTGATGAGTGAATAAACTATAGTACAGCTGTACAACAGAATATTATTCATCCATAAAAAGAAATAAAATACCAATCCAGGTTACAGCATGAACAAATCTTGAAGATAACACATTATGTGAAAGAAAGTAGTCACCAAGAACCACATATTATAGAGATTTCATTTATGTGAATCATCAAAAACAGGCAAAACTACTGGGGATTTAAAGCAAGGTTCTGAGTTTGATCCCTGGTACCCCCCAACAAAAGGTAAAACTATAGACAGGGCTGGGTGTGGCGGCGCATGTCTGTAATCCCAGCACTCAATAGGCTGAGGCAGGAGGATCACTGTGAGTTTGAGACCAGCCTGGGCTACATAATGAGTTCCAGGTCAGTCTCAACTACATAGTGAGACCCTGTCTCAAAATAAAACAAAACAAAACAAACAAACAAAAAAAAACAACAAAAACAAACTACAGAGACAAAGTAGTTTAGTTGTTGCATTGAGCTGGAAATGTGGGAGAACTAGGGAGGCCTCATGTATGCTAGATGAGTGCTCTATTACTGGGCTAAAATCCCAGCCCATGTTAATTTTATCTTAATAAAGCTGATTTTAAAAAAATAGCTGGAGTTATACATAGGTCAGTGACAGAGAACTTGCCTAGCATGTTTGAAGCCCTGAATTTGATACCAGTACTGGGTGTGGAGAGAAGAAACCTGCCTCCGGCCTCAACTTTTCTTTCAATTCCTGATCTTTCTCACTGTCAAGGATGGAGACCCCCACACCACCACCACCAAATTTAACAAGTCTAAAATAGAAACCAAGCCAGGTGTGATAGTGCAGCCCATAATCCCAGCACTTGGGAGGCTGAGAGAGGAGGATCGCCATGAGTTTGAGGCCAGCCTGGACTACACAGTGAGACCTGTCTCAAAAACAAAACAAAATAAAATAGAGCCCAATTCAATCTAGTGAACAGCTGAGTTTTTCTACATGCAAACAGCTCTAAGAAACAAAGATTAATAAGATGTGTTCAGTAAACTTAGATGTCGTGTGTGTGTGTGTGTGTGTGTGTGTGTGTGTGTGTGTGCGCGTGCGTGTGTGTGTTAGGGATTAAACCAATGGCCTTAAGCACATGCTTTCCCACTGAGCTACACCTCCACCCCTACTACTTGTTCTTCATCCCACTGCCTCTTAGCAATATCATTTGTCGGGAGTACAGACTGGAATTCCAAGACATAACTACCACTGACCTGTCTGTCACTCTATCTGATTACCACTCTCCATGTGGTCACCATCTATAACCTCTGGACATAATACTTATGATGTCTCAAACCATAGTCTCTTCTACTCCCACTGTCACATTTAAGATTTTGTTCCATACACCGCTCCACACAGAATCATGTGCAAGCAAATCTACTAAACAGATATTTACCATAATTAATATTCATAATCACACAAAATGGTACAGAATGTTCCTCAGGGAAAAAGTGCCTTTACATTTCTTACGGCTGCATCTATAAAGTAAACTGATGCAGGCCGAAAAGAATTATAAAATGTCGATCACTGAAAACAACTTCTAAAATACCGTAGGCTATCGTCTATTTTTGGGTAGATAGTGGAGAGTAGCAAGGGAGACTGAATCCTGGTCTTTAAAAAAATTTTTTTCTTTTCAAAATTTTGAGACAATGGGGCAGAGATTTAGCTCAGTGGTTCTGCTGCCTGCCTCATAAGCACAAGGACCCGAGTTCGATCCAAGGATCCGAGTTTGATCCCCGGGACCAAAAAAAAAAGAAGAGCAGAAGGTTGTTCTTGAACAAGAACAGCTGGACCCCTCAGAGTTGATACAAGCCTAAATCAGCAGATCAAATAATTCTCAGCTCATATTGCCACCTATCAAAATATTGGCAGTGCCAGACTGGGGATTCAGCTCAGTGGCGCCACACCCACCTGGCAAGCTCAAGGTCCTGAGTTCGATTCCTAACACCTGTCTCAAAAAACATATTGGCAGTGCCATAAGACTGCAGTAACAGAACATAATTTTAAAAAACACAAGGCCTCTAAAATGAAATTGCTGAACACAATGGAGAAATCAAAACTGATGACATAGCTACATGTACACAACTGTTACCCCCAGCTACTTGGAAGGCTGAGGCAAGAGGATCACAAGTTCAAGTATAGCTTGGCAACTTAGTGAGACTATGTCTCAAAACAAAAATGTAAACGACTGAACACATAGATCAGTCACTTGCCTACCTAATGCAAGCCCCTAGGTTTAATCTCCAATACTGCAAAAACAGAGACTGATAATGGGAAACATATCTCTACACAGAAAACTGCCTGAGAGGAACTAAATAAACATCTGTGCCAGGCAAGGTGGCACACACCTATAGCCCCAGCTACTCAGGAGACTAAGGTAGAAGGATCACAAGCTTGAGGCCATGTAGCTCTCAGTAGTTCTGTATTAGAGGTAGAGTGCTTGCCCAGCAAGCGTGAGGCCCTGGGTGCAATCCCCAGGTAAATAAAGAAATAAACACTGAGAAAATATATACACACAGAAAAACAAATTTTTTTTGCATAACTATTTTTTGAAAGAATAAAACCCAACATCAATAATGTTACCCTGGGTGATGAGATCATCAATGACTTACTTATATGCTGCACTTTTTAGAAAAACAGTATGAATTATTTATGTTAAAATTTTTATTAGCCCAAATCTAAATACACAGCAATAAAAGTTTTATCTCTTTACCTTATCAGAATCTTTCCAATTATCAGCTTTCTGCTTTAACCATCAAAGTTTTAAAAGTACTAAAAAAAAATCTAAAGTTAAAGAAAAAAGTACATATGCTTATAAAATGTGGACAGGGATTTATTTACAGCTTAATCCTTTCTAATGATTTACAATCAACTCACTGGATGAGGACACCAGATAATTATCTAGTTTGAAGTCTAAATAAAAAAATAATTTTTTTTATGATTTAAGAATGACTCTTGCCAGCTACTACTGGCTTGAGGACTACTACTGCTACTCATCTTTATGTAAACACAAATGAAGATTAGATTTTTAGGGAATGGATTTAGTCCTGAAAAAATGACTAATGTTTATTTAAAATATGTGGTAAAATTATTCTGGCAAGGGCTGGGGATTTAGCTCAGTGGTAGAATGTTTGTTCAGCAAGTGAGAGGCCCTAGGTTTGGTCCTCAGCACCAAAAAAAAAAAAAAGCAAAGCAAAGAAACAATGATTCTAGTAAAAGAAATTACCTTGAAATTACCTTGAGTTAAGGATGATTATCTCCTGGGTCTGGGATTTAGCTCAATGTTACTACACCTGCCTCACAAGCCTCACAAGCACAAGGTCCAGAGTTTGATCCCCCACACCAAAAAAGCAAAAACATTATCTCCTGATCATTCTGTTTCAAATGCAAAAGCACTAAAGACAGCAGTCTCATAGCTGGTCTCCAAGTCAACAGGCAAACGTCCCTATTCTGACTCTATTCACTAACCACATCCACATAGCCTCCAGCTTAAGTGAAAGTTAAGTGAACCTTCCTGGATTTGTTTTTCCTGTGTAAAATGAACAAGTTAGACAAAATAATCACAAAGGATCCTGAAAACCTTAAAAACCACAAGAATCTTAAGGATAACTTTTCTCTATGTTTCAGCAAAAAACACCTACAGACACCAACAAAAGGGGTACAGAGCCCAGACAAACCTCCTCCCACAAGTACTCAAGGGCATCTGAGGTAGTTTAAGAACACTTTACACACACACACACACACACACACACACACACACACACACACAGCACCCCCCAAAACCCAAAAAACCCCACAAAAAAAGAAAAAAAAAAGAGGAAAGCTTTTAATTGTGCCTTCAGGTAATGACGAGGCAGTGCTAAATCCTATGCCAACCCTCCCCCCAAAAAAGTCCTAAAGAAACACCCAAAACTACCAGTGAAGGATTAACCCTGCAGCTCTCAACCTCATTAGAATATTTTGTAATTTACTAAAAACCTGACTGAGTGGCCATTACTTGTCATTCAACACTCCCCAAAACAAAAATTCCACAGGTAAAAAATTTACAAAAATAAAGCAAAAAATAGGGGGGAACCAAACAAATGAACAAAGAAAACAGAAAGCCATGTGCCCCAATAATCCCAAGACTGAAGGTCTCCCTCCCCTTTAATTCCAATAAAGGGGCTGTTAATAACACCAGCCGCTGCCATGCTTGTGTCAAGGAACAATACTCACAATAATGATCAGGCCCTCAGAAGTTCCCAACACTCCTTTCACCTTGAAAAGGGGGCTTTCTTTTCCAAAAGATTCAGACACTGTAGCCAATCCCTCCATGAGGGAAGGAGAAGGGGCCTCTTCTTGAGGGACAGAGAAAGAAAAACCTTTAATTCAATCTCACGACAAACTGAAAGCAAGACAGAGAAGCACATATACTAAACAGGACCCGGCTCTTAAACATGGAGTGTGCAGGAAATCTCAAAAGCATCAAGCACTGTTTCCCCTTTCCTCCTTTTATGAGCATGCAGAAAAAGGATCCCTGTCTCTACACAGGGAACGAAACAGTGAAATGCTCCTGATTTCTACTCACAAAGACTCCTTGAATAAAAGGTTTTCCTCTTTTTCAGTGGCAGAGGAGAAAAGGAACCTTCTGCATCAGTCTATATAGACAAAACTGAGTCCTTTCCTCAAAGGTTTATTTTTCTTAGGAAAGCAAGAGAAAGGAAGAAGTCAGCTTGGGTGCTCAATGTAGAGGAGGTTGTGTAAGTAGAAGGAAAATCTTTTTTTTTTTTTTTTTTTGGTCACAAGAGCAAGCAGGGGTAATGAGAACGGCCACCTCTAACCAATAAGAGATGATAGGTTCTGTGGACAAAGGAAAGGCTGAGTTTTGGACTCTGATGTCCCTTCTTCTTGACAGTACTGACCTGCTTCCAAAAGCTGTCTTTTTTCCTGATTTTCAGTGAGGCCCTCTCTTATTAATGGGTAACAGAAGACGGTAAGATTTAAGAGAAGTGTCTTTCCACCGTGGGGTGGGGAAAGTCTTCCTCTTCTCCAGGAAGGGTAGATTGGACACTTGTTACTATGGGTTGGGAGAGAGTGCACAAAAACATCTGCCACCACTGCTTCGTGTAAGATAACAGTTTCCTCTCTCTCTCTCTCTCACAGTACCGGGGATCGAACTCAGGTCCTTGCGCTTGCAAGGCAGGCGGTGGAACCACTGAGCTAAATCCCCGGACCCCGGTTAAGAAGTACGGGGATCGATCGGGTCCTTGCGCTTGCAAGGCAGGCGGTGGAACCACTGAGCTAAATCCCCGGACCCCGGTTAAGAAGTTTCCCTTCTTAACAAATTAATAGGAACAACTCACCAAAATTTACTATCTTCTAAGCATTTATACAAACTGTGCAAGGAAAAAGGAGCTCATCGCACATCGAGACTTAAAAGCAAAAAAGTGAGGGGCATGATGGGGGGGCACCCTGATGGTTTCTCATGCTATAAAGTAAATTCAGTGTTTTCCCCCTCAATCTTGGGGTAAAGGTGAAAAACGAAGGCGGAAAGGTATTGTAACTATTCATACGGGAAAGGAAGGTCGTCTCCGTCGCTTCTAGAGAAGCTGAGTTTCCCTCCTCACCTGCTGGGTGCGGACCAAACTGGGGAGAGGAGGTCGTCTCATTTGGGTGATACCCCTTATCCCTGCTTAGGCTAAGTTCAGAATTCCCTGTCGCACCCTGCGAGTGTCTTTCGCCGCTAACAGACGGTCGAGAGCCAAGGAAGATCGCAAGACCTCGACATGGGGCGTCTTCCTCCACAAGTTGTGGGTCCCCTGCTGACTGAAGTAGGAGTCTCCACCGTCGTAGGGTTTGGAGAACCAGTTTTCCTCTAGTGAGGCGAGGCGAGGCCTGCTCTCTTGCCTCTCTCTGGGTCGTTCCACCGCCCGCAACAGCGCAGCCTCCGTTCCCTTCTGCGCCCCCCTGGGCTGGGGGGGGGTCCTCCCTTTGGGGCAGCACCGCCCGACGGAGGGTCCCCTCCGGGCTTAGGGGGCCGGGCAGCTATGCCGGAAGTCTTCAGGGCCCCTGCCGCTTACCCTGAGACCTGCTCCGCCGCCTGCGCTTGCCCCTCCAGATTGGGCTCTGCAGACGCAGCTCGATCGCCGCCAACTCTACCTGAGCCTACGGAGCCGAGAGCCCGGGGGCGCTCCGTCCACTACCGCCTCTCCGTCTCTATGGTCCTCCCGCACTTCCTCATCCGGGGCCCGAGCCAGCCATGCGGAGTCGCCCAAGTACCGCCCCCGCACCTCTCACGCAGGCGCGCTGTTCGAGGGGTGGCTCTTCCCACCTGGGATCTCCCGCCCTCCGAAAGCCCCGGCAGCCCTCAACCCCGCCCCTGCAGTTCAGACTCTTAAAGGGGAACACAGTTTTGGGCTGGGCTCCTGCTTGAGGCTCAGGGCCCAGCGCCAGTACCTTTATCCATTGCTATCAGCCCTGTTCAGTCCACCATTTTTTTTTTAAATCTGGACGTGTGGTATTCTAGGAAGCATTCGTGTTTCCACCCTGGCAACAGGCGACCTTTTAATAACTGAAATAGATAGTGTAGGTTAACATCACTGACATGTAATCGCACTGACCAGTAAATCTAAGTGACACCTCTGCTCCTAGTTGGTTTCAGGATTTTGTTTTCATTTCTTCACAGATTAAACACTAGATTGGAGTACCATGTGTTCATCACTTGACTTGTTTACCATCTGTTCCTTTCCATCCCTGCCTTGTTTAACACTATGTTCAGAGCACCTAACAGTGTTTGGCAGACGTTTGAAGGAAAAAATTAACCTAGAAGGGAATTGAGGTTCAGAGAATGCAGTCCGTTTCCCCATATCACATAGATAAATGTTAAAAATAAAAATCTGTTGCTTCTTGGAGTTTGGTGAGTTAGGCTAGAGGTTTAGAACTTTTGGAGATTTTAATTTTTCTCTCATCAAGGTATCTCTGACTTGGTGAACACGCATTTGGGCTGAGAGTGGACGTATATAAACCCATAGGCCGAGACCATATACAGTTCAGATATATGTGGAGTTCATAAATCAGCTATGAATTTCCCAAAATATACAGATGCTATTTGGGATGAATTAACCAGAAATTTCACTTTCAGCCATTTCTCTTTTTCCTTTTTTTTTTTTTTGGTGGTACCAGGGATGGAACTCTGGACCTTGCACTTTGCGCTTGCAAGACAGGCAGCGGCACCCCTCAGCTAAATCCCCGGCCCACTTTCAGCCATTTCTAAATTTATATTTGGAGTCTCATGTAAGAAAAGTTACGCAATGTTTAAATTTGTGCATCTGATTTATTTTACTTAACATTAAAGTCTCAAAGTACATCCATTTTTCTACAAATGACTTAATTTTTTCTTTACTTTCTTTCTTTTTTCGTTTTTTGAGGCAGGGTCTTGCTTTGTACTCCAGGCTGGCCTTGAGTTGTAGTTGAGGCTGTTTTCCTATGTTGCCCAGGCTGGCCTTGCACCCACAGCGATCCTCCTGGCTCAGCTTCTCAAGTGCTGGGATTAGACTTGGCCAAGTTTATCTTTCTTTATGGCAGAGTAGTACTCCTTTGTATACAAATACTGGAATTTCTTTATCCATTCATCCGTCGATGGACAAATAAACAGCTACAAAGATTTGCCTATTATGAGTTATGCTGCTATAAACAGGGGAGCATAAGTATCACTGTAATATAATGTCTTTTGTCTTTTAGGAAGATACCTAGAAGGGGAATAGTTGGATCAAATGGAATTTCTAGTTTCAGATTTTTGAGGACTCTCCATACTGAATGTATGGAATCTTCTACAGTGGTTATAGTAGTTTACATTCCCACCAACAATGTAGAAGGTTTTCTTTTTCTCCTCTGGCTTTTTCTCCTCTCCTTACTCTTTCCAGAGTAAGATAGAATCTCAGTGTTTTGATTTGCATTTCTCTAATGGTCAGCGATGGTGAATATTTTTTCATGTATTTATGGGCCATTTGTGCTTCTTGAGAAGTGTCTATTCACTTCAATGGCCCATTTTTTGTAACTGTTTTCCTCTATTTAGTTATGTATGATTTTTTTCTCTTTCCCTCTCCACTCCACATGTCCCCCTGCCCCGCACATGTATATGTGTGTATTTACCTGGGATGAAACCTAGGTAGAACACAGGGCTTGGTGCATATTAGGTAAGCTACTCTTCCACTTGGCTACACCCCCATTTTTTTGTTGTTTTTTGAGACAGGGCCTAGCTAAATTCCCCAAACTGGTCTCTAATATGCAATCCTCCTACCTCACCCTTCTAAGTACAAGTAAACTCCTGATTTACAAAGAAATTCCTTTTTGGGAGAATGTTCCTAAGTCAGATTAGTTTGCAAGTCCAACACACAAATATACAATGTTTTGTTTTTGGAGACAGGGTCTCACTATGTAGTTGTAGTCCAGGCTGGTCTCGAACTCACAGCGATCCTCCTGCCTCAGCCTCCCAAGTGCTGGGATTACAGGCTTGTGCCACCACACCCGGCTTGTCACACTGCACAGCAGGCACACAGCAGCACAACTGTTACCATGTCCGGCAGACACATGTCCTACTTCCTCCATTTGTTCCCAACTCCATTGTTGGTAAATTGGGGACTTAACTTGTATCTCAGATTACAGGTTGCATCACCACAACTGCCCTGTATGATTTTTCTTTTCTTTGTTGTGCTGGAGATCTAACTGAGGGCTTCAAGCATGCCAGGCCAGTACTCTACTACTGAGCTGTATTCCCCAGCTCAGGGTTTCTTTGCTTTGAAGTTTGCACAAGTCTAGTGCCTTGCTGTTTGCAGTCCCAACTACTAGGCAGGCCAAGGCAAGAGGACTGCTTAAACTCAGGAATTCTGGCCCAAGTTAGGTATCTCAGTGGGAAGTCATCTAAAAATGGGGGGCTAGAGATGTAGTTTGCAGGCGAGTGGTACAGCATTTGCCAGATCATGGATTCAATCCCCAGTACAAAAAAATAAAAGTACCTCACAATTAATGAATGATTTAATTTAGCACAAATTCTAAATAAAATCATCATGTTTAAGGAAGTTTTTGGTTGTCTTACTACATACAGGGGTCCCCCTGGCTCATACCCAAGTCTCCCATTGGTACCCTCCACTTTTTTTGGCCAACATTCATATGGGGTCCTGAAAACCGTTAAGAAACTGAAACAGCTTGTGTGAAAGCTGGTAAGAAACTAAAACCAAGTGTTGTAATGGACTGGAATCAGGAGTGCCATTTAGATTTAGTAGTCACTGTGATTAGAAGTGGGGTGATGGTTTAACGTAACACATGGATTCCAATTATAAAAAGACCTACCTGGGTGAGTTGGTGCTTGCCTGTAATCACCGCACTCTTAAGAGGTTGAGGCAGGAGGATTCTAAGTTCGAGTTCAGCCTGAGAAATTTAGCAACATAGCGGGTCCTTGTCTCAAAGTAAAAAATAAAAGGGCCAGGGTGTAGTGGTAAGAGGGGTTGCCTGGCACTTAAAACATTTGGTTTGGATTCCCAGCACCTAGGGGGAAAAGAAAAGGCTTCATACTTCATTCTGAGGAGTTTGTCGCCATAGGCTGTTTTCTGCCTAGGAAGTTTGATAGTATCTGTTACCTAATAGGGTTAAAACTACATAAGTCTGTTAATCATGTTAACTCAGGAGTAAAGAACGTCTTTTGGGGCTTGGGTTTACAAAGACCCACAAAGTGGTATTTCCCAGTAGGCGCCCTCACCGTGTCTCACATGCTTAGCTCTTCCCATTTTATAAAAGTTACATAAACTTTCTTTTGCGCCTTTCAACAGCACTGTGAGGCCAGGCGAGTGCCCTTAACTTCATCTGCACACAAAGAGACAGCTCAAGTGTAAGATTTAAGTCTCACTTTTACTCCTGGAGCGTGAACAGCCAAGAGGCTTCCACGATGCTGGGCTCAGAAGCTCAGCGAGGCTCCAGGAGCTTGTCGGACAGCGAGAGTCACCCAGGAAGGAACACACCAGGCAAGTTGGCAAATAGACCTTTATTAGTCTGGCCAGACGGCACTCCCCAAGCCAAGTAGCTCAGAGAGGTGGCTAGCTCAGAAACAGAGGCCATTTTATATAGGGCTAAGGGGGGGTTTACACTTAAAACTTACAGGAAGAGGACAAAGGTAAAGAATCAGTTGATCTGAGCTAGTGGTCATCAAGCATATACTTGACCGTCACGTATTAATGATCGAAGCAGATCGATTATCCATTATTCCATTTACAATTTAGATTATAATGTTCAGATCATTCAACTACAGGCAAGTAAGATGGTGTGTTTTGTTGGGTCTCTGTGTTCACTACAGTTTCCATTTAATTTCCCAGCTACTTCAAAGCAGTTACCTAACAATTCACAATTAATCAGTTATCCTATAAGGGATGGGGGTGAGCGACAGTCTCTAGGACATTTTGCTGGTCAACATGGAGTCGCTCTGGTTCAGTCAGGCTCTTACATTCCCCACTGATTTTTGGACCTAAATCAAATCTTTGATTAACTTATATCTGACTCTGGGCCTTAATAAAGGAACACATTGTAAAAGACAACAAGTTATTGCAGTACAAAATCCTAATGCCATTATACAGAGTATCAGTTGTTTTACCCAGGTAATGTCAGGTAACTAACTTGTTAACTATTTAAATAAATCCCACCCTATCTGTTCATTATGAATTTTTGTAGCTAAATCTTTGAGCTTTTCTATGTCTTGTTCTATAGCTGGCCCATTATGTGTTAAATTGAAGCAGCACATATTTTTAACCCTCTCACAACCTTGGTGATGAAATAATAGCAATTAATCAATTGCCGCCCTATTATATAAGATTGCTTGTCTCTGTTCCTGGAGTTCTTGATTAATTAGCGCCAGCGTGGCAGAGGTGGTATTTAACCCTTTAACTACCTTGCAAGCTAGTTTTCTAACTGCCTTTTCAGCATGTACTCCAATCGAGGATATACCTATCACAGAAATAATCATAGGAATAACTTCAGCATCTGTTAAAAGTCCTACATCATCATCACAGCCTGGTGAAGTACAGGGAGACCAGCGTTTTGTTCTGTTGGGTGGTGAGAGGTCTCCCCTGTCAGGTAAGATGACTGCTAATTTACTAAGACAACAGCGGGCCTGGGTCAAGTTTGCTGGGATATAATTATAAGTTATTCCCTCACAAGTGTAAAACCATCCCAGTGGCAAAGTATTATGGCATTTGCTGTAAGGAATC